GGGGCGGGAGGCGCGGCGCCGCCGGGGCATCGAGGTGCCGGGAGGACTCTTCCTTCCCGCGTGCTGCGGAAAGCCGTCGTGGTCTGGCCCCTTCCCCTGACGGGCCTCGGCTTCTCCGAGGGTGTAGATACTTACGTTAAAACGTGTCTATTTACTCCAGACACACGCACGTCTGGAAGGCCAGAGGGGAAGGACTGAGCGCACACGCTGTGTGCCTGCCGGGCACGGACCCGGCCGGGTCGCGCCTTGCAGTGACTTGGGGGGCTTAGGAGCTCTTTGCGCGATCTTTCGTTGACTCTTTGCACTGCAATCCTGCCGCGATTTCCTATGAATGTTTGTTTACGTTTATAAAGACAATTAGCTACCGTTGCATTATTATTTCTCACGCTCTGCACGGAGCAAACATGTTGCCCGATTGGCCGAAACCACCTTTAAAACGATAGCCGGGAATAGATGGGAAAAGGTCATGTCAGCTTGGGCTGTTAATGCCTTTAAAGCTATGTTTAAAAGCTGGCTTTTGTGCTGTCGGTGTTTTCGTTACGTGTCCAGTTCCTAGACAGTAGCCGTGCTCGGCAAAGCAATCGTCTTGGCTACTTCATGCTGTCAGCCGGTCGGTCTCCTTTCCAAAAAGGGCTCGCAAGTTTTCGCTCTTCCCTCGAGTCCTTCAAGAAGGACACGTCCCTGCCGCTCGTCGCGCTGCCCAGCACGACCCGCACGGGATGAAATTCTCTGGCTCCATCGGGCTGTTTCCCCTCCCCCCGTCTCGTCGCAGATTCCTCCCAGCCCCTTACGTGCCGTCTTTGTGAGAAGGGTTTGGTTTAGGCATCTGCGTAGCTACCGCGACATGCTGGAACGTAGCACCGCGGTCAGCACGGCAAAATGTTGGCGAAGCATGTTCGGGGTGTGGGGTGGAGAAACACAGATTTGGGGTTGTCGGGGGTACAAAAAAAGATGTTGTCCTGATGTTTCTCGTTTCAGCAAAAGGATGTCTGGTATGAAATCGTAATCTGATGGCAGCACTGAGGGCAAATCACAGAAATCCAGGTGTTCCCCTGTGGCCGGGAAGACAAAAAGCGCGGCGGTGCCTGTGCCTCTGCCACCCTCTGGCGGAGAGGGGGGCGGAGGCCGTCCTGGCAGCCGGCCGCGGGGACCGCGGAGCGAGCCAGCGGGGCCCATC